TCATATACCAGCCGCGCATTGCTCGACCGTGAACGTAAATACGTTGTTATTGAGCGTGAATGCCTGGGAATTGTTTGGGCAATAAGTAAATTTAAGAATTACCTGTACGGTCGTGAATTTATCTTGCAAACTGACCAACAACCCTTAACATACATTCGTAATATGAACAGTAATGGTCGACGTATGCGATGGTCACTAGCCTTACAGGCTTATTCATTTGTGATAGAATATATTAAGAACATCAGTGCAGATATTCTCAGTCGTTGTTCTTTAAATGAAAGTTTAGAAAAAAAAACACTTAAAACATATACTTGACGTATTTAAGTTATTTCAGGGGGCTTTGTCCAGGTTAGTGTTAGTTTTCCTTAACTTGTCCATTTTCTCTTAATGATTTCGTGTATATGTGCGTGCGTGTATGAGTTCCTTGGTACATTTCCCGCGACCAAAGCAAGGTCGGTGACCCATTGAGCACGACGTTCACATAATTCACCCGCTTTAGTCTTATTCTTATCATTATCATCATTAGAAGTGTATGCATTATTTTCATTATTCTCACTGGAAGTAGACCCCATTACCTCACTTATAAGATCCTGGGTTTCTCTACCAATTTGAGAACGTGACAACAGTAATACTGAAATAAAAAGTTATCGATGTTATCCTTATTACAACAATATTCATTTTCTCATTTATTAATACATTTATTAATACATTTAAGAATCTTCACACACACACACACACGCACACACACGTACACACACACACACACACACGCACACGCACACACACACACACACGTACACACACATAGTGACAGGTACATACAAATACACACATACATATAAACTCACACAAACACATACATACATGAATACGTACATAACTGCATGCATACTTACTACATACCCTGGTATGTATATACACACGCACACACGTATATGCGCCGCTGCCAGTGTAATCTTTTCTAGTTTCGAATATCATAGGATTGTGTGTTGGTATGTTTGTCTTTTCTATTCGCAGGAAGCTGTTTGCCAACGGAAGAGGTACTTCAAAGAGAAGCTGATTGAAGTCCTAGAAGAAGCTGGTGAAAGCATTGAAAGAGGCAAACTTCTGCAGATTACTGCAGAAAGAAATCATTTCACCCAGGACCAAATAAACACCATGGACCAGGTAAGTTTGCGTGGAAACTGCAAACACACACACACACACAAACACACACACACAAACACACACACACACACAAACACACACAAACATACACACACAAACACACAAACACGCACACACACCAACACACACACATAAACACACATACATACACACAAACACACATACATACACACAAACACACATACAAACACACACACATACAAACACGCACACATACAAACACACACACGCAAACACACACACACACACACACACAAACACATACACACACAAACAGACACACACCCAAACACACATACACACACACAAACACACATACAAATACACACACACACAAACACACACACACACACAAGCACAGACACGCACACACACACACACAAGCACAGACACGCACACACACACACACACGCATGCATACACACACACACATACACACACACACACACACACAAACACAGACACGCACACACACAAACACACACATGCATACACAAACACACAAACACACACACACACATACAAATACACACATACACACACACATAGAAACACACACACGCAAACACACACACATACACACAAACAAACACACACACACAAAAACACGGACAAACACACATCCCAACGTATCCACATACACACAAATGCATATTTAAGTTATGCGAAAATTTCCAATGGATATACTTGCTATATAAAGACTTGTATGATTATTTTCTGACAGTGTGCGTTTGTGTCTGTGTATTTGTCTGTGAATACATGTGCGTATTTGTGTCTGTATTTATGTATCTGTGTATTTCTGCATCTTTATATTTGTGTCTATTTCTTTCTGTGTAATTTTTGTATGTGTATTCTGCATCTGTGTAATTGTCCGTGAATTTGTGTGCATTTTTGTCTGTGTATTCTTGTATTTGTGCGTGTGCTTTCTGTGTGTGTGTGTCTGTGTACTTTTGTATTTCTATGTAATTGTCTGTACTTCTGTAACTGTGTATTTGCGATCGTTTTTCTGTAACTGTATATTTATGTGCATGTGTTTATTATTTTAACTCTCTCTCCTCTTTCTGCATGTTTTATGTGTATTTCTGCTACTGTACGTTCCTTCGTCTGTGTATTTGTATCTTTGCATTTCCGCACGTGTTTTCTGTCTGTGCATTTCCGTATCTGTGCTCTGTGTTTTGTGTATCTGTATTTGTTTCTGTGTGGTTTCTGTTTGTGTATTTCTGCTTGTATGTCTGCATATATATATGTGTGTGTTATTCTTCATCGGTGTATTTGTAGCTCTGTATATAGAACCTTTATCTTATTATTTTTCTTATATTTTTCAGGCCCTCGA